ATATGAGTGGATCCCGTTCTCTTACTCGTCTCTCCTTTCAAATTGTCGTAAAAGAATGACGTCGTGTAAAGGATGGAGTGGAGGTAGGCCAAGTCGAGCTGAGTCCAGTGAAACCAGTATGCATTGGTAGCGTCAGCAAGAGAGTGCCTTCCAATCGGGTACATTGTATCTTTCAGGTGCGAAAAGTCTGGAAGGCAGAAGGCGTCAGGCGGGGGGCTTATTGGTTCCAGGAAAGGATAAACGTACATGTGCACAGCAAGGTACGCGAAGTACTACTAATGTCTTCCGGAAACTTGATGAAAGTGAAGACATTGGCGGCACGGGGGACCATGCCTTGGTGTCTGATTCGGGCCAGAGCGTGCGCGGCAGACTTAAGCGACTCATGCCGTGCCTGAGCCTGGGGGGGCTCTTCAGAAGAATCGTTGCCTCCTGGAGCATGCTGTGACCGTTCGCTTTCCACAGCGGTAGTCGGGCCGCGGCTCTTCAATTGACCAGGAAGAGCTCGTGTACGGGTATTCTTCCCCCGCATGACATGACTCCGTATGAGTTTGCGGTCTCTAGCAGCCGGCTGACCATTTGCGTCCACGGTCAGGAAAACCAAACCCTTACCTGCTTGCGGCCATGTCAGTATTGTTCCACTGTAATGAACCCCATTGATGCGCAAGGAGGTACCTTTGGGTGGGGATGACATTGGCCCAGGCGTGCAGCTGCAAGGTGGTTCACCTGGTAAGAAGCCTGCTCAGGTCCCTGAGCCACTCAGATGGAGTCTGGGCCACTGGTATCTGCCTGAGTGGGTTCTGTAAGTGTGTATCTGCCTGTGCGTGGAGTGGAAATCGTGTCGAGTATCGGTGTGATTGTCAGAGGAAACGAGCGGCCGTATGTCCCGCTGAAGGGCGTCCGAATTAGGGAAACAATCAAGGATGTGAGAGAGACAGGAAGTCGGAGCTCGACGAGAGACACCTGCTCGGATATTCGACCCGGACATAAGGCCTAGGAAGACATACAATGTACGCCATATGCAATGCATGTCCCGACCTGTGTCCTAGCGTAAACCATATTTCACCACGAGCTTCTTCGCCGTGAAAGGGAACTCTCCAATTATGTAAGCTGGTGGTGGTCTGAATCCCTACTTGTCGCGACTCCCACAGCCAGTATATCACTCTCGCAATGGCGGTGTGATGTTTTTGTCCGACTTCGCGCATATCCTCTCTGTCGAGCGATCGACAACTTGATGCGAATCGCAAAGTCAATTCTTTTCGAGCCTCGTACTACCAATCCTCATGCCAGGAGGAACTGCCTTATGGCGCTTACGATCGTGTGAGAGCCGCCACTAAGCCCGCCTAGGGCCGACCGTAACCTACAGAGCTCTTTGTAAACATCAACCAAGCTATTTGCATTGCGAAGTATTCCACAGGAAGTGTTCTTCGCTTCGACAGCGTCCATCCTGCAACCGCCACTCGAGGACTACCTATCAATGACGATGTTCGAATCTGAAGAGCCAGAACTTAGTCACATCGATCAAAGTAGAACAGACCAAAACCAACATCAAGGCCCAACTCCAGCTCCAACCTGATGATCCCAGATTCAGTCAACTCTGCTCAAGACAGCGCAGTTCAGTGTAAGCTAGCTCAAGCTTATGCGACAAACACTCAGTGCCGAGGATGGAAGGGGGGATTCTGGACGTGCAATCCTGGGCCACCTCTGCTGGCATCAGGCATGGCAACTCTCAGCTTCGCCTATTGACTGTAGGCAGACTGAGAGTGCTAGAGAATGATCTTTCAAGTAGACACGGCAGAGGCATTTCCTGCCATCAGTGAATAGGTCGTCTGCTGGACGGAACAAGCACCCACGGCGAACAGGCCCCAGGACAAAGAGTCGGAGTTGTGGCGGCGTGGCGTCAAGGGAACGACCATTGGAAAGAGCTTGGGCCCACACATAGTCGGTGCATGGCGGTGCACGCGCCTCGGTCGCGTTACACGACCGCAGGGCCTGAGCCTGAGCCAGTTGTCCCACAGAGGGAAGTACCTTGTACATTCGACCTGCCCCCTGTCGAAGCCATCTATTTGTCTCCCAAAGTCCAGAGACCCAAATCATAACCCCCCCCCCTCCCCAGCCTTCAGCCAGTGAGGTCGTTCATTGACACTGGTTTCCGCGCCATCCATTGAAGCGAATCTTGTCTCTTACCACCAGCGCCCTGAAAAATCATCGTCCTCGGCGACCTTGCGAATATCAATCGCAAAGACTACAGCTTCGAAGGCAGTTGGCGCGCGCGCGCAACCTCCATCCCCCGCACGCGCCGCGACCAGCTTAGGAACACGACACGACACGACACGGCAAAAAGACCACCCGATTCTTGACACCGCTGCACACAGAAACTACACACATACATACCGCGCAAATATGGCGCGTGCATCGCGTCGCCGTGGACGCGCCGAGCCCGAGCCCGAGCCAGAGGTGGTCGACGAGGTTGAAGAGGTTGAGGAAATCCAAGAGGAGACGCCAGAGGCAGGAGCCGAAGAAGACGACGAAGAAGAAGAAGCAGCAGCAGGCACACAAGACCAGGCCGAACAGGCTGATCCCGAAAATGACAACGAAGCAGCGCAATCGGGCGAGGTTTTCAGCCTGCAGTTCGACGAGGAGCTGACATGGAGGGTCGGCCGGCCCATCGCCGTGTCTACGCTGCTCAAGCGCCTCGAGAAGCTCTCCGAAGAGCTGGGCACGCTGGAACAGGACCACGTCGACCTCGAATCTCTGTCCCACGTCTGCGAAGCTCTTGGACAGCGCAACCTCCTGGCTCACAAGGACCAAGGCGTCAGGGCCTACACCGCGTCCTGCATCGCCGACATTCTGCAACTATCCGCCCCCAATGCCCCCTTCACACCCGACCAGCTCCAGGTTTGTGCAGTGCCCTGTCTCCTTCCTATGTATGGGTCTCGAGCTGACAATGGCACGCATGTAGATGTTTTTCGATCTCGTCATCAAAGACGTCTTCACCCACCTGGGCGACCAGTCACACCCCTACCACAAGCAGCACAAGTACGTCCTGGCTTCACTCAACGATACGCAAAGCATCCTCCTCATCAACGACGTTGATGGCGCCGACAACTTGCTGCAGCGCATGTTCTCCAGCTTTTTTGACACCGCCTCGAGCACGACCCATGACGATGGTGT